TGTCAACATTTTTTGTTTCAAAGGCTCATAACAAAATTGAACCATTTTGATCAAAACGATTTTCTCCAGGAAAAAAATACGAGGCTCCCATTTTTGTATTTCACAATCTTTGTTGAAAAAATTACAACCAGTTCGATGACATAATACATACTTTTAATAAGTAATATTTTCACAAATATTATGGAAATTTCATTTTGAACGCTAACATAATAATAAAGGCAGGTACATACAATCCAGAATTGTAAGGGATCTCAAAAGGTCGTCCAGTCCCTGCACTCGAGACAGAACCATTCCTGACAAATGTTTTCCTACGCTGCTCTTAAAAATCTCCAATTACAGAGATTCCACAACCTCCCTATGTAATTTATTCCAGTGCTTAACTACCATGACAGTTAGGAAGTTTTTCCTAATGGACCTAAACTGTCCTTGCTGCAGATTAAGCCCATTGCTTCTGCTATCCTCAGAGGTTAAGGAGAGTGATTTTTCACACTCATCTTTGTAACAATCATTTATCCTTGGTGAATCTCATTCTGTTTACTTAAGACCTTTTTTCCAGTTTGCCCAAATTATTTTGCATTTTAATCCGAACCTCCAAGTACTTACAACCGCTCTCAGCCTAGTAGCGTACAAAAACATTATAAGTGTACTTTCTATGCCATTATCTAACTAATTTATGAAGATACTGTAAAGAACTGGACCCAGGACCAGAACCTGCAGCTCCCCATTAGATTACTATTTCTCAATGTGCTTAGAACTGACAATACCTGGAGTATATTGGATTCTGCTATGTGGTAGCTGATAGCAAAAGCTAACTTCTTACAGGCAATATCTGTCAAATATCTATGAATATAATCCAGTGAAAGCCCTTCCTTCCTGGCCATCTAGTGAAAAAAGCAAATGCTTGGCGCTTGGGTCCCAGAACTATGTTGCTATTTACATGTTGGATTAGTTTTTATCTGCCCATCTGACAGTGTGATATCTGGTAACTTGGGACTGTTTTCTCTGTGGTACATTATTATGAATGTTTGGCTTGTAGAGTATGTTCTACCAAAAGATGAAGATGCATAGATGGATTTGTACAATAACTTATGTTATCTTATTTAATGTGAAAATCTTTTTTTTTGGGGGGGGGGAGGTGAGGATAGTTTTGGACCATGGCATGATCCCTTCCCTCCCCCCCCTCCCAGCTATGTAGTATAAAATGTATGCTAGTGAGTGAAACTCATAATAATCTCATCTTGCCGGCTCCAGCCTCTTAATCAAATTCCAGTGTAAATTGACATATGCTTGCAGCTATAGCATTCCTGGCATGTTTCCATTGTTGGCAATGTAAACTTGGGGCACTTTTGGCTACATACAGAAGGCTTCAACATAATTATAATGCCTAGCACTTACATGACTCTCTTTATATGACCTTTCAAGCATAACAACCTTCACAATACTTGTGTCAAATACATAAGGCAACTAAGGCAAAGAGATTTTTCCAAGACCATCCAGTACCCCAGAACTAGCTTCCCAGGAGATTTTGGTCCTGAATCAAAGCCCAGTTTACAAAGACAAATTCATAACCTATACTTCATATGGGCAGTAGTGTGTTTTTTGGAGCTTGTTGGAAGTGTGTCTAGTGGTTAGGAGGGCCGGTTCTTTTTTAATTCAAAAGGGGATTATAGGGAAACCCAGGTCCTCCCACTCCACAGGACTCTTGTCCAGGACCCTGGGGATTAGCAAAAGACCAGGCACCCCATGGTCATTTTACAGCTGTCCTCTCTGGGCCACCTCCATCCCCTCCTTCACTCTGTAGTCCAAGCTTCTGAGCCTACTCTGGGGTTTCTACATCCTGGCACAAGTACAAAGGAATAATTGTGGCTTAATTTATTAAACAGTTTGGCACAAAGTTCTTTAGCTGCTCCACATATCAAATGAATGAATATCCAGCACAAATCAGTGGGCTATTACTTGTGAGGCAGTATGATATAAAGGGCTGAATGTGAAGCTGAGAGCCTGGAGCACCTGACTATAATACTACATATGCCATTTACTCATACTTTTTGCTCTTCACTTTAACAGCAAGATGTGTCCACCATGTCAGTCACCCTGTTCCACCTGTTGTACGTTGTTTGCACATCATTTCCTGGCATAAGTAATAGGGGAGACTTAGTAGCATGCTTGATTCAAAATGAGAAGCAGGGGACTGGGGTTCGCGGCTGGCCAATCAGACAAGGAGGAGGGGTGGGTGCCTGTCACTAGGGAGGGGGAGTTCCTGGGAGAAGAGCTAGATGGGAACAGAGGAAGGGAAGTGCAGCAGCTCAGACCAGGTGTAAAAGCAAAAATGCCCCTTTTGTGGGCATCATGAAAGAAATGAGTCTTCAGGAGGAATTTGGATGAAAGTGGGTGAGGAGAAACGGCTTGGCAGACTAGAAGAGGGAGGTTGTTCCATGGAAATCAGCATTGAGAGAGTAATTTTGGAAATGGATGAACAGGACATCTGGCTACCACTATTGTTAGAACTTGGTATGGAGATGACACAATTGGCATCTAGGCTGAAGATGCAGGGATTTTTTGTCCCCTGGTTAGTGGACCATTTTTAGACCTTCTCTGAGGAAAAGGCTAGTATTTCTAGATCTCTTAGAAGAAGGTTAAGCATATACTTGTGCTTTGTCACACTTCTCTGGAATTCTGCTTCCAAAATACCTTAAAGCATCCTAGTACCTTTGCAAATCATTAGCTTATAACTCGTTTGCTGATCTTCTGGTTAAAGTGCAGTTAGATCTTTTACAAGGCTTTGTGACCAACTGAAAAAGAGTTCATCTCTGCCTTTCCACCGGGGCTTCTTCGACAGTTTTCTTCTTATGAAGCTCATCTGGTCTGCATGACAACATTTGGTGGAAGAAAGAGATTTAAACATCTACCTGCCTTAAGTTCCTCATGTTTCCAAACTCTGTCCAATCCAAATCATCACAATGTCATTGCCAGACTTGCAACAAAATCATTCCAGCTATTCACTGTTTACACAGTGCCACTGGTTTACATGAAACTAAAAAGAACACATTATGACCCCTGCAGAGGATCATACTATCTAAATTGCCTAGGGTTTACAATAAACAAAGGACTAGGAAGAGCACAAGGAATGTCTAAGGTTTCAAGACTCATATATAGCTAGACATCTTGTAAATTAGGAGACGAAGTGACCAGAATGAAAGCCAGAGAGAAGATGCACTGTAAGGATAACAATGGGTAAAATCCTGGTTTTGCCATTAACTTCATTAGGACCAGGATTTCACCCATGCACTTTTGAGGAGAATAAAGTTGCATGCTTCAGAAACTGCTCTCAAAGTGCCACAGAATGCCAGAAGCCAATGTAATACCCATGTTGTTCTCAGTGTGTGCGCTCAGATCAGCTTGATATGAGTTGAACCAATGAAATACTAACAATGGTCATTATAGCCTTGGGATTATTTGTTGCATTGAAACTATTTTCCTAATGGTTGGGATGTACCTAATATTTTCCCCAACAGAGGAGATGATTATCTTTCTTTTATTTACAAAAAAGTTCTTACTGACACTATAGTGCCTGCTTTGCAGCTTAAGGATAGTTAGTTTTCATAGTCACATTTTTACCTTTCATAGATGATGCAATCTGTGTTTGTCCCCCTAGTATTCATGTCTTTCGTTTATTCAGGTGTCTTGCAAATATATTCAGTATTTAGACCTGGGTGGTTTTTTTCAGCTAATGGGGGAGAAATTAAACATTCATTTTAAAATTCTCCCATATGGAAAAACTGTTTTAAGGTCAGTGCAAACAATAACCAGAATAATACAAACCCACCAGGAAAAAATTACCTTCCGCATGATTTGAATAGCACATTGATGTATTCTGACTCTCTGCCAATAAATTATTTAACTCACCCTCCGGTAATAGTTTCTTAAAGAATAAATATGATTTCACAGTGAACAAGTCTATCTTCATTTTCTTGTCATCAAGTGTCATCATTTTTTATATATCCACGTTTCATAAAACTAGCAATCCTGTGGCACCTTACAGACTAACAGATATATTAGATCATAAGCTTTCTTGGGTAAAACCCACTTTTTCAGATGAATAGAAGTGGAAATTACAGAATTCAGCAAAAGCAGTTACCTGTCATTTATAGGGCCAGTGTTAATGAAGCTAATTAAATTAGGCTGGATGTTTCCCTTTCATAGTATTTCATGTGGAAATGGTATTATCAAAGGGAGGGAAATTGCCTTTGTAATGTGCTAATCAGTTGATATATTTATTCAAGCCCAAATTGATAGTGTCAAACTTGTAAATGAACTCCAGTTCAGCTGCCTTTCTCTGTGATAAAATTATTTTGTAGAAGAATAGCTACTTTTAAATCCATTATTGAATGTCCAGGAAAGTTAAAATGTTCTTCTACAGGTTTGTATGTTACCATTCCAGATGTCTGATTTGTATCCATTTATCCTTTATCGCAGGACCTACAATTGACAGGAAACTGGTTTTGCTGTTATATATACCCTGGATTCTATAATTTGCACTCGTACTCTGTGAAAAGTGGGTTTTACCTAAGAAAGCTCATGATCTAATATATTTATAAGTCTTTAAGTGCCACAGGACTGCTTGATTTTAAAATTACAGACTAACACATCTACATCTCTGAGACTCTTTTCCACATGTCTCATGTGCAGGATAGAATGTTTTCCCAGTTTCTGTAGAAAAATATTTTGAATTTCAGAAATACACCTAATCCCTAAGCCTACTTATATGAATTTAAAAAAAATAAATTTGATGTTACTGAAAATTTAAGTTAGAAGCACTGAGAAATATTTGAGAAGAGATATCATGAATTATTATAGCTCATCTGGAGCCATGCACAGTTAGAACTCAGCTGAAGTATAGCTGTCCTCTCGAAATGTTACTTTATTCTTGCACAAGATAATGGGGTTCTGTGAAGACCAGAATGCTCAGTGTTTTGACATTGTGTTTCTTCTGTTCATAGCATGCCATGCCATTTTGGAGGATCTCAAGCCACTCTGACCTTATGGCCCTTCATCATGCCTTAGAACTGGAGTACTTGTAGCAGCTTAGCAGCACTTTGAAACCCCAAAACCTCCCTTGTGCCCATGGACAGTATGTCTGTGTCTTGTGTCAGCATTGGACGACAGAATTTTGTGATTTCAACATGTTGATGTACAGCTGCAATTGGTCTTAACCTTTGCCCTTTCAGTAAATGGAGGAGCATGCCTTTTTCTTCAGAACAGCTGTTGACTCTAGTATTGTGAATCCAATGAAAACAAGCCATGAGAATGTTTTAACCGTGTGTTTTACCGCATTTGATTCAAAAAAAGGGTTCATACCTGTGAAGAAAGGACCTGCAACTGCTTTGTAGTTTATAGAATCTTCAATGTGACACACACAGCTTCTTCAACACCACAAACTTGATTGCACAATGAAGACTGAGTTTTTTTTCAAAATACCAGTGGAGTAATTTTCTTGTAAAGAAGGTTTCCTTTTTTGGTTTCTCATACCCAGAGTACTCTGTACATCTTTACTTATTTATGAACAGACTGTGTTTTGACATCATATAACTGAGGATAAATATGATAGGATTAAAGGCTATTTATAAGCCTTTGTCTCATGATACAGCAAACACTTTTGATTTTAGCACATTGCAAAGTAGTTTAAAGTATGTCTAATTTAAACAGATAGGTACATCACTGAGACAATCGTGTACAGGAAGAATTTTTTGTGTAAATTTGTAATAATGGATGATTCTTTTACATATTGTTTAAGTAAATGATATTGAAAGGTAGTAATGCCTTGTTGGTGAAGTCTGAGGCAATGTGTACACAACTATTGTGCAGTGCCTTATCAGAGTGTTGGGTATAAATATGTAGATAATGGATTTTTTAGATAAATTTGTCAAGACCAAAAGCATGGATGTCAAGTGTCAATAAGGAATTTGTTGTTCTTTTTCAGCTACTTTCTCTTTTTTTCTCCCCTTAGCTATTCTGACTATAAAATGATGTTTCCATTTATCCCCATTAAACACATACGCAGAGCTACAGAACTTAATTGAAGAGGAGTTTCCTTTACTTCTGACTATAAAATGATGTTTCCATTTGTCCCCATTAAACACGTACGCAGAGCTACAGAACTTAATTAAAGAGGAGTTTCCTTTATTTTCTCTTTCATTTTCTGTTATGATGCTAGTATATTAAATCTCCTTAAATAATTGAATAATGCATCAACAGACAACTCCCATAAAAAAAACTTGGAGAATAGAAAATACACTATACAATGGTATTTGAGCTAGAGTCTAAGTTTTCATGTTGTCAGAAAATGACAGCATGTGCTTTGTTTTACAGAAGTTAGAAAAGAGCATTTTGAAGAAACTGAGCAAAAAGTGATTGTGTGCAGTGTACGCACTTCTGGGTTTTTTTTTTTTAATTCTCTTTAATCAGGAATCAGATGTTCCTAGAGTGTAACATCCATTGCCGGCGATGGATATACTGAAATAGTTGTCACCAAGGAGTTAAAATTTCCATGTTAATTTTTATGATCAATGTAAACTCTGTCTGGTCTATCAGTTGTGACTTCTCTGAATCCTGCAGGCCATGAGCAACATGGTCAGTTAAACTGTGAGTCTGACATCTTGGCCTAAATTATACCAGTTCCCGTTCCTCAATTTTCATCTTTTCATTAAAAAGAAACTTTGACTTTGTTGGTTCATTCTTCAAAATTGACTTCCCTTTTCTTCCTTTCTTACCTTCCCTCCCCTCTCGCCCCCCCAATAAAAACAGCACCAGCCCTCTAAACAGATATCTGCGAAGCACCAAAGTAGCTGCAAAGCAACACCCTCCTGTGTTGGAGGATTCATATTGCTGCTAGTTAATCATTGTGAATTTTCCAATTGCTTAATTACCAACTAAGGCCACTATCCTGCTAAGACATACACATGTTCTTCATTTTACACACTAGTGTGAGCAGTTCTAAGAGGGAATTACTCATAGTGCATAAAGTTTAAGCACATGGTGTATGGTTCTTTTAGGATTGGGGCTATAATTAGATTTTTTTTCTTTGCTTCAAGCAAAGTAGAGTGACAGTTTTTTGTCTTTTCAATTTTTGTAGTCATTATACAGACTGAAAAAAACAGTTTATCTGGGCCTTATTGTACAAAAAAAGTGTGTTGTGTCTACAGTTGTGTACAGAATTTTTCTTCATTAATTTTGTGTTTTAAATTAATAAAATTGATTTGTGAACTAGTAAACAATTCTCTGAGGCATACATATTTGATTATCTTTGCCCTAGGTTCAGAAGGAGATGGCACCTCTCATTTGTTGGCTACCTCAAGAAAAAAGATGTTAATTTGTCTATGATATAGATAAGAGATTATAGTAGGGGTAGTCACTAGTCAGACTGAGACCAAATCCAGACCCTCAGGCACTTTTGAATGGACCCTGACATCTTTTTATTTACTTACTCATATTGTTATTTTTTATTATTGTCTCTGGCGTCTGGACATTGACTGTATCTTGACCAAGAAATGTGGACTTTGCCAAAAAATGACTGACTGCCTCTGCTATATAGAGTAACAACCATACCTTGATAAAATACCTTGGCTGTCGAGGTGTAAGCTAAATGGGCAGCAGCTGCTTCTCTGCTCAGTGGGTGCTAGAGAAGAACAATATAAAATATCCCACAAGAGTGGGAATCAGAGCACTGGCTCTTCTTGTGTTTACACTTGTCCTCATAAAAGCAAGGAGCTTGGGGCCCACTGAAGTGGAAGAGAGTTGAAATGATCTAAGGCCAGCAACATGTGGGTTACTGAATACACAAATCTCTTCTACTCCATGTATGTTGTTAGTTGCAACAGCATGCCTTTTCCTGAGCCTGTCCAGAGCAGTGTTGTGGTGATTTCCTGATGTTTGCAAAGTGTGATTAGCACACAACTTAGATCAGCAAATTCACTTTCAATTTGGGCACTTAACTAGGATTTGAAATTCTCTCCAGAGGAAAAAGGCTAATTCAATACTATACTAACCCCAAAGGCCGTCTTCTCTTTGAAAGTTATTGCTGCTTTAGTCCATTACTTATACAAGCCCAAGGTGCTCAAGACAGAACTTTCTCGGTCTTATAAAATAAATGTGTATTTTAAATGATGTTGTTGAAATCCAAAAAGTGAAATGAATTTTCCTTACAACTAGCACTGTACAACTTGTTCTGGCTCATACACAGGGGTTGTAACCAGATGGATTCCTATAATTTGCTTTTTAAAAGTTTGAGATGCAAACCCCACTTGGATTTGTTAGCATTTGGGAGTATTAAATCTGAGTGGTCTTGGCAGAACTGGAAGCTAAAATCCACTAGGCAGCCATCCATTGCTAATCGAGGAGGCAGCCTCAAAATAAAGCTGAGTTTCCCAACCCTCTGTATGTCTGAGACATTATTCAGTTTTGTTCCTTGAAGTTCTCAGGAGAAATGATGACTGCAAGCTCTGCTGAATTCTTTCTGGTGGTTTTGTTGTTTAAACTCCTGGATTACCATGGTGTGTTTTAAAGATACACTACTTCATTAATGTTGTTTGTGATCTCTAATTAGATTTATACCAAGAGCCCTAAATTGCAAACGCTATTTGCCTCCAAACATGTGCTTTCAGAAGGCTACTGGGCCTGTAGCGATAAATTACTTGATGTTGCACATAATGTTTAAAACTATAGCCCACATAGCCATACCTGCTAGGCTGTGAATCAACCTCTTTGACACATGAACACACACATGCTTATTAAAAAATTGTTGCTTTAGGTCCCTTTGTTTTTACAAACTTTCACATCTTAAAATGATTTCATGTACAGTACTGTAACGTTGTTGAAGCAAGAAGCCCAGGTGCTTTATATTATTCTGTAGTAATCCATTAAAGCATTGAGGTTACAGTGGCAAAACAGCATTTCAAATATTTTCTTGCAAGGTAGAGATAAAATATAGCTATGCCCCCTTTTTCTTTCATCAACTGAAGATGACGCATTTTGCATTAGAACCACAGTTCGACAGTCAGAGGCATGTTCTGTCTGTGCTATTAACCAAGCACCATGTGAATAGTGGGGGTCACTGAAATCTCCCTTGAAATCAATGGGCTTTCGTAAAATAAAATATGTCCAAAAGATAGGTGAGTAGTTGTTTTGCAATTGGTTGGCTTAAGGGTGAAAGTGTTCATAAGTATATGAAGTAAGTTACGCCAGGCAAAAACCCGTGAGAGTGATTTCTTACTCCCCACTCCCCATTGTAGTGAAGAGGAATGCAGGAATTCACACAGAATTAAGATTGTTGTGCAATGTAATTAGCATGCATGTGCTGTGTTTCCTTTTAGAAACAGTATTGAATAAAGTCCCCATTAATTTCTTAGAAGTTCACTGATAAGATGACCAGCTGCAATAGCTTTACCTATACAGGCAGTCCCCGACTTAACGAATGGGTTACATTCTGAATACCTGGTCGTAACTCAATTTGGTCGTAAGTCGGAAATACCCTTAAACGCACTGCCCGTGCTGTTCAAAAAATTTGACGTACATGGTTCTCAACTCGAAAATATTGTAATGGGGTTAATGGGAGGTTGGCCGTCAGTATGGATGATTGTAAGTCAGTGTGTTCGTAAGTCAGGGAGTGGCTATAATAATATACATGTCCAAATCATTAGGACTGTTGCTTCGGGGTAATGCCAACAATGTGGAATTAATAATTATGTAATGACAAGACCATATGGGTGCTTTGTAGACTTCTAGGAAGACAAAGTTGCTGTCCTGAAAGGTACATGATCCAAACTCATAAATTGTGTGTGTGTGTGTGTGTGTGTGTGTGTGTGTGTGTGTGTGTGTGTGTTTTCTTCTTTCGTCTTTCTGCTCCTCTCAATGCCATGTTTTTTCAAATTGTGTCTCACAACTCTCCAATCCATATGTAATAGGAATTAGTTTGTGCATTTGTGCAGTTCCTGTATCCTAAATGTGTCATTTATAAACAACAAAAGGTTGGTGTACGATAGCTGAACTGGAAATATATGTGGCTTTTTTAAAGTACCTTTTGGGTTCCTGATTTGTTTGAGAAAAGGCCAATCTCAATTTCACCAATATGCTCTACAACCAAGAGAAATGAAGAGAACATATTCGGTACAATCCTTCCACTCTTTCATGTTCAGCAAACTCGGGAGAAAATAGTAAGTGCACTTTTTAGCAACTTTCATTTCCATTTCTGTTTTTGAAGTGAAGTTTAATTCTTGTCAGTGGTGCCAGATAGCCAAGTAAACTGAAGACCTTTATTTATCCACAAGAAAGGTACCATATTAGGCAGCCACAATGTAAACAGCATATATTGAACTAAAAACCTGAGTGCATTCATTGCAATACATACATCATGCAAAATTATATACAGCTTTGAGCTATTTGGAAAACAGCAATTTAGTTGCCAACCCTCCAGGATTGCCCTGGAGTCTCGGGATATTAACTGTTAATCTCCAAGGATGATGTAATGTGAGGAAACCTCCAGGAATACGTCCAACCAGAATCGGTAGCCTTAAACAGTAATAATTTTGATGGAAAGAGGTGGCTGTGGTGAGGTGACTTTGTTCCCCATTCCCTTTGAATATTCAAATGTCCTTGACTCTGTGGTTTCATTGGGGGTTTCACCAGACTCATACACAGAGGCAGCATTATCTTGATGCATTAGCAAAGGAACCCCAAAATTTGATTGGCCTTTCTCCATAGCCAGCTCATAGCCTATTTGATCTGGAAGTGAGATGAAATCTGAAGATAACATTAACTTCAGTTGTGCTGCAAAAAAAGGAAAACTAATATAAGGTTAACCAGAAATAAGAAATATGAACAGGAAACAAAATGTGTTTGTTAGAAAAATGCATGATGATAAACCTGGGGAAAATAATCCAATACAATCTCCAGTGGAAGGTAAGGATGTTTCCGTGGTTATAGTGCTAGCCTGTGATTCAGGAGATCCAAGTCCATTTCTCAACCACGGAGTTGCTGTGCACTCTTGGCTGAGTTACTATGTTTCTCTGTTGGAGACTCTCTTCTGAGGG